AGGGGCCTCTCTATTCCCTCTCTTTGTTGTTCTTCATGTTCTCTTCTCTAGGAGTCTCATACTATCTGTGTGAGCAAAATACCTAACTTCTCAGACCTGTTTCCTCATCTGTAATATGAAGGGCTTAGACGCGGTGGTCTCCAGTGCCCTTCCAACTCTAAACCCTGTGGTCCCTGTTTATGGAAAGGAGACCCCAATGAGTGGAGGGCATTGCCTACTTAGCTGCTCGATGCTGAGCACGCCACTTCACCTAAGCCTTGGTTTCTGCATCTTTAAAATGGGGATAATAATCCTAGCACCACTTACCTCAAAAGGAACATGCTTTACAGGTTTTAAAGCTGCTATGGAAATGAGAATTATTCTAATGGGCTCCCTGATATTGCTACTGTAAGGATCTGGCAGTCTGGTGTAAGTGACTCACTTTGTAAGTTGTGAAACACTATGTAAATGTCAGTGATTATTATTTTGCAAGACTTGGGGCAGCTCCTCTGAGTCTGGGGAAATATCTGCAGAAGGGTCTCTCTGTCGTCCATTCAGACGCACCCTGCCTGATCCTGACGCTGTTATCTGTTGGCCATCAGTTGGGCTTCTGTGGAGTCGATAATAATACACATCCAAAGCAGGCAAATTGGGAAGAAAGGAGCTCCATTGTGTGTGTGGTGCCCTTTGAGGCCAACTTAAAGTAGGTCCTGTGTTGCGGGAGCAGCTTAGCTACTGAAAGGGAAACCAGAGAGACAAGCAATTGTACCCCTTGGCCTCAGGGCTCCTGCTCTGAGCCAGGGCCCTATCCCTTTCCCTCATAGGAGGCAGTTAACCCAGCAGAAGATGAGGTTTTCAGGACAGCTTCAGGCTCCCCAGAGGCAGGTGGGAGGAGGTGGGAGAACATGCCCTGATTGGCATCTTGATATCTGGGCAGAGGCTGACCGGGACTTGCCCAGACAGCAAACTCCTGCAGTTAGAGAGGAGTTCAGCCTTCATGCGCTGAACACTCACCGAGCACCTGCCGTGGGATGTAAAGAATGGGAGTCAAGGAAGTGTATTGGGAAAAGCTCTGGGCTGGGGTGCAGGAGACCTGGGTCACAGACCAGCCTCTGGCACTTACTAGCTGTGTGATCTTGGGCAAGTCACAGTACCCCCTCTAGGCCTCACTCAGTGCCTTCATAAAATGAAAATTCCAGCGAGAGCAGAAGTTGTTCATCTTTTTTTGTGCCATGGACCCTTGGCAATCTGGTAAAACTTATGAACCCTTTCTCAGAATAATGTTTTTAAATATATAAAATATATGGGATTATAAAGGAAACAAAAGGTTAGTGGAAATATATATATGCATATGTATATATGTATATATCCATATATATGTGTATATATGTATGTACACACACACACACACACACACACACACACACACACATTCCCATACAAGTTTATGCATGCTCTGAAATCTATCCACAGACTCAGGTTAAAAACCCCTGGTCTAAGTGATCTCTAAGTTCCTTTCCAGCTCTAAATTTGGTGATCCTATGATACATTCATTATCTCCCTGAGCCTATTTCTTCTTCTGTTACATAGGGATGATAATATTTGCCCTCACTAGATGATCATCACATGGGCATATTTTTGTAACATATCATTATGTCTCATTGTGCTTGATTTCTTGGAGATATTTCAAATTCCCTTACGTGAGGTATATTTGCCTCTGTCACTCCTACAATCAAGCTGTTCTCACACATCTCTGGACAAACATTCCCTTCCTTTGCCTTTATCCCCGGTGTATTCCAGAACACCAGGGAAGAACACTCCTTTGTTGCTTTCCAGAATCTCCCTCCCCTCTCTGCTGGCCAGATTAGGCTTTCCTTGGTTCTTTGCCATTCCTTTCTCTCCTCTTCAGCTTTGATTACTTCCCATGACCAATTGTCCTTCTGCTAAGGACACATGACCTCAGCCTGTGGAAAGAGCTTTCTGGGTTTCTCTGAAGCAGCTAGATTTCTCAGTGTCCCTCTGTGTCTCTTTGTGGCTCTTTGTCTCTGTCTCTCTCATTCAAAGTGAGGAGCCTATGCCTGGCTGCCCCACACCAGTCCTCAAAGGCGCTTGAATCAGAGAATGGATGCTTCTCCTCCTGACTTGGTTATTTCTATTTGTGGCACCACTATTCTTGTCTTCCACATTCACAACCTTGGGGTTGCCCTCAACTCTCCCTATTCCTCACCTCTCGTGTCCAGTCAGTTACCTAACATGGTAGAATCCCCCTCCACGTTAATCTTGCATATGTCCTTTCCTCTCCACTCCTACCCTTGTACAGGCATCCATTACCACCTACCTAGATTATTTCAATATCCTCCTAGTGGCTACTCCTATTTTCACACTCTCCATTCTGCTGCCAGAATAATCTTTCTTACTAATAGAGACAGTCATATTTCTCCACTGTTCAAACATCTTCAGTGGTTCTCTGTTGCCTTTGTGGTAAAATCCAAAATCTTTTGCCTGGCAGTTAAGCCTCTATGCAATATGGAGCTACCCTAGCTTTTCAGCTTTATCCTCTATTATGCCCCTCCACTAACTCTTTGCTTCAACCAAACTGGTTTACCCTCTGTCTCCCAAACACACCCTGTTCTTTCATACTTTTGTGCCTCTGCAAAGTATGTGTCATACTATGTTCCCTGTGCCTGGAATATCCTTCCTGTTTGTCCATTGAATCCTTCCCGTCTTTCAGAACTTCAGCTCAAATGCTACCTTCTCACTGAAGCATTCACTTCTTTATCCTCCTGGTGGATGATGATTTTCTCCCCTTAGACCTCATGTAGCACTCCCATCTTTTTTTTTTTTTTTTTGCTTTTTGGTGAGGCAGTTGAGGTTAACTGACTTGCCCAGGGTCACACAGCTAGTAAGTGTCAAGTGTCTGAGGCCAGATTTAAACCCAGGTCCTCCTGACTCCAGGACTGGTAGCACTCCCAACTTTGTTGTTCTTATGGTATGATCTTGTGCATTATATATTTATCAGCTTTTGTGTCTTGTATCCCTATTAAGTTGTAAACTCCCGAGAGCAAGGACCAAAATTATCTAAACTCTGTAGGTTTCCCCAATACCAGGGACAGTGCTCTGCACTGTTGAATGAGGGAATGAATGTTGAATGAATAGTATCACCGGATTTAGAACTGAAGGGTGACCTTAGTGATGATCTAACCTAACTCCATTTTATAGATAAGAAAACTGAAGCCAGGAGAATGAAATAATTTTTCCCATAGGGGTCATACAGGCACTAAGTTCTGACTTTGGAGCCAGTCCCCTTTTCCTACGTCACAATGCCAAAATGAGTCATTTTGCCTCCTCTTTCTCATTGTGAAGGCTTACAATCTTCCTTTTGACTCATGCCTTATATTTGGTTCTTCCAAATAGGACCAGGCCACCTTTCCAACCCCTGGAACACTGACAGCCTGCCTCAGGGAGCCTTGGCATTTGGATAGCCTGGCTGGTGCCAGAGTGACTAGGATTGGTTAAGGGCCCACTGTCCCCGAACAAAGCTCTTCTTGGAGCTTTGAAATAAGGAGGTGTAGAACCAATGTCTAGGTTGGGTATTTGGAGACCTGTCCCTAGGAGCTGGTAGCCTTTCTCTTGTATGAGCCAAGCTCAGCCCTGGAGAAATGAATGCCAGTTTTACTGAGACATGCTTAGAAATGGAAAGCACTTTCTCCTTCTGAATAATTTATTTGGGAGCTTTTCAAAAATTTCTAAGTATGAGCAACAACAATACCTGGACTCTTTCAACATGCAAAAGGCACAAGGAAGTGGGACGTGATGGGGAAGAATGTGCAGTGCTATGTGAGGCACGTGGTGAGATATCTCCAGAGAGGCATGATGTAGGTGGAGTCTCCAGAAAAGTGATATGGAAATGTCTCCAAAGAAACATAGGAAATACACGATGTGGGTGCTGTACCTCCAGAATGACACCTACCCAGGCAGAAGGAAAGGAGTGAACTTTGTAGAAGAGAATGCCTCAGCAGGGTCAGAAGATGGCCTTCAAGGTAAGAGAATAGCAGATGTCCTTTGGCAGAGACTAGAGGTGACCATTCGGCCCTCTACACGAGGGGTGGAGGGAGAGAGACAAGGAGGGCGTGGGCCAAGAACAATATGGTACTTCGTGATCTACCTACTTCCAGGCACTGAGGACAGAACCAACCTTCTTGGAAAAGAATAGTGAACTAGAACTAAAAAGGACCTTGGAGACCATTATGGCACTGAGTGAAAGCCACACTGAAGGTGATGGAGAAACCATACCCAAAGGAATGGAGATAATGGATATCCTCATGAAGCATCCCTAAGAAAGAATTTAACAGACTACAACAGCCTTGGCAAAAATGAGAGGATGTTATTATCATGCTGATGATCTCGAATACTGTGGAGGCCATGTCCAGAAGAGAGCTACCTTTAGAGGCCTCCTCTGTGGCCCATCTGCATTGTTTTGCAGTATCGTCAGATTCCAGAGAAATAAGTCCATCAGTTCTGAGGAAATAACAGGCTGTGGTTTCAGAGCATCTGGACCCACCTCCTATTCTAGCTGGGAACAGTCCAGTTCTTAATTGTTTTATCATTTGAAAATATCTGTTAGGGGGTAAAGGAAAGGAAGGAAGAGACCTGGCCTATCTCCCTGCTACCAGCACCTCCCCAACTCAAGATCCCAGTGGGCATAGATGCCCAGAACTCATGCCTGAGGTGGACCAATCCCTATAGTTCAGGCTCGAAAACTCAAATCAGAATCAAAGGCATTCCTTGTTGCTTTGTTTGGGTTATTTTTCCCTTTTCTCCAGGTTTAATAGCTTCCTTGAGTTGTTGGTTACTTCTACTTCTAGACAATGGAATGTTTTCACATTGACAATATACTCAGATTGGGGTAAGGGTGGGATAGGGGAGACTGCTTCAAGTCTTCATGAGATAGTTGAAGAGAGCTCATCGTGAATCACACAGCACAGAGACACCAACAACCAAACACCAAGCACAGCCCAGCTCTAGATGTATTTTTTCTTGAGGTACCAGTAAGCAAAGTATCCCATCCCTCCCAGGGAGCCCATAAGGAAGGATGCTCCAAAGAAGGATGGTGGCTTCCGCTTAACCAGCCGGAATGCATTGGGGATGACAGCAGAAAGTAGTGTGGTATGTATGTCCCCGAGGACTTTCCGGAAGGCAAAGCGTCTCTGGACCCTCTCAAAGAATGACTGCAGGTTGGGCCGGCTACCATCTTCCCAGTATTTTTTTGACAGTCCCAAGAATTTGAGGCGGTGTAAGGTGGCCCCGAGGAGGACATCAGCCAGTGTGAAGACACAGCCACAAAGCCACAGCTCACATTTCTGCCCTGTGGAGTAGAAGGAGCAAGATGGGGTAAAAACCAAACCAAACCAAACCAAACTCATACTTTCCTGGTCATCAAAATAGCCTCGCTTAGTGGTGATATGGTTCTCCCAGAGTCTCAGCCTCAAAACTTGAATGATTCCTTTGATTCCTAGAACATTCTTACTTATGACACTCCTTGCTCAGAACCCTTCAGTGGCTTCCCATTTTCTAGTCCAGATCCCTTAATCTGGCATTCAAGGTACCTGACTACCTGCCCAAACATTGACATCTATTACTACCCTATAGACCTCCATCATGCCAGTCAAGCCAGTCTTCTCTTTGCTCCTTAAATACAGTATGTGCATTCCGAGGCTTTGCTTTAACTATGGTCCCACTTCACTTGTCTAATCCTTACCTGTTATTCGAGGCTCAATTAATTTTATAATTCTTCCAGAAAACTTTCCCTAACTGCTCCACCCCCTTGTCATCACTTTGTCCTTTGAACTCCTAGGACTGGAAGTATGATGTGATGGAGAGAGCAGTGGAATCAGGACCTCTGGGTTTGAATCTCAGCTCCTATGCTGCCTACCTCTGTGACCTTGGAAAAATCATGTAACTTCTTTTGTGACCTCAATTTCTCATCTATAAAATAAGACAGTTGGACTATATGACCAGTTCTAAATCCAATGATCCTACTGTTATCTAGACCACTTGTTTGGCACTAATAATAATAGTAATTATAATAATAGCTAACATGTATATAGTCCCTACTATGGGCAGCTAGGTGGCACAGTGGATAGAGCACCTGCCTGAAATCAGGAGTACCTAAGTTCAAATATGGTCCCAGACACTTCCTAGTTGTGTAAAACTGGGCAAGTCAGTAAACCTCTGTTTGCCTCAGTTTCCTCATTTGTAAAAGTGGGGGTGATAATAATAGCACCTACCTTCCAGCATTGTTGTGAGGATCAGATGAGATAATATTTGTAAAGTGCTTAATACAGGGCCTGGCACATAGTAGGTGCTATATAAATGCTAGTTATTATTGTTGTTGTTGTGATGATGACGATGACAACAACGATGACAATGATGACGATGGCTGACCGAGTACTGGGATGCAAGCTGCAGGAATTGAACTTCAATGGGGACAGCGGAGCCAAAATGGTCCAAGGGCATCAGGTATTGAACAGAAGCCAAATTGAACCATCCTGGGGAGCTGCTCTGGACTGGATCTTCCCTTGTCTCTCATGGATGCTTCTTGTGGAGAGACAAATAAACTCGATAACCTATCCCTGCATCTTGCCTTAGAACCCTGTCGTTTTCTTCTCGTCACTACAAGTTTCTGAAAATTCCATTAAGAGAACTTGACTTTGGTTGCCATAGAAGAGATAGATTGTTCCACAGGGAGTCCTTAGGATATCCCAGGAATGTTATTCCAGTGACTTTGCCAGGAACCCCATTGAGGAAAAAGCCTTGGTGATAGAATGAGAAAGTGTAGTGGAAACATCTCTGGACTTGGAGGCAGAGGATCTAGGTTCAAATTCTGGTTGTGCAACTAACTATCTGTAGCTGTGTGATCTTTGGCAAGTCACTTATCTCTTTGGGTTTCTTTTTCTTCCTCTTTGAAATGAGGGAGGTGAACTACTGGATAGTGGTCTCTAAAGTGTGAAACAGGGAATGACCCTAAGGGATGTGATCAACTAATCAGAGGATGGTTCTCACCTTCCCTATTTCTGTCAAGGGTACCACTGTCCTTCTAATCACCCAAGTTCAAAATCTCAGCATTATCCTTGACTCCTTACTTTCCCCCCACCCCACATTTCCAATCAGTTGTCAAACCTCATCATTTCTACCTCCACAACATCTCTTCCATTTGTCCTCAATTCGAATTCAGGCTATCATCACCTCTCAGACAATTACAATAATTTTTAAATAAGTGAACACATATATTAGGGGTGTGTGTGTGCTCAATTCTTTATCTATTGTTTATACTGATGGGGCATATGATCAGAAACATTTTGGAGACAACAGAACTAAATGATCTCTAAGGACATTCTAGCACCAACATTCTAATGAGTTTCCTTGCTGTTCATCCATGCATTTATTCAATAAATATTTATCAAGCATTTACTGTGTGCAGGGCACCATGTTGTGCATTGGGTAGAAAACAGTTTAGATAATACGAAATCCCTTAGAGTCTCATAGAGTATAGCTGTAACATACAATAGTACATAAGTGCATTTACAAACTTTGTGAGGTCTGAGGGAGGTCATTATGGGATTGTGTATTTGACTGGAGAAGGAAGGTTGGGTAGGAATTTTGCATTTGAAAAGAATGAGGGAGAGCTTTGCAGGCCCAGTGAAACTGTGAGCAAAAACACAGAGGGCCTATGGTGTGTTCAGGAGACAGGGAGTAGACCAATTTAATCAGGACAGAATGAGTGGAAGACATTTATGAGACAAGACTGGAAAAGTTGCATAGTTCCAGATTGTTTAGAAGCTTAAACAATAGGTAGAAGCCTTTGAACATCACTTAGGAGACAATAGGGAACCACTGAAAATTATTGAGCAGAGGAGTGACATGACCAGGTATAAGAAAGAGAATTATAGCAGTGGACTGGAGAGGAGACTTTGGAGGTAGGAATGCCTGTTAGGAGGCAGTTATAGTAGTCCAATAGTATACCATACTATAGTAGTTTAGTAGTCCAGGAAGGTGGTAATCTGGGTGGGTTTTAGGGTATAGGCATTGGGCATTGAGAGGAGGAGATGGGTGCAAAAAATGTTGAAGAGGTAGAATCTGTAGATGTTGGTAAATGGAGAGGTAAAGGATAGGGAAGATAACCCCAATATTTTAGTCATGGCCAACAAGTGCCAAGGAGATGTATGACAGAAAGAGGTCTTACACGTGCCAAAATATGCACAGCAGCACTTCTGTGCTAGTGCAAGAACTGGAAGCAAAAGTATATCCCCATTGATCATGAAGTGGCTAAAAATCATGGTAGTAGGATGAATGAATGAATAAATGAAAAAGCAATCATTAAGTGCTTACCATGTGCAAGGCACTGTGCTAACTTCAGGAAATACAAATAGAAAACCAAGATAGTGCTTGTTCTCAAGAATCATAGGGCCATAGATTTAGAGCTAGAAGGTCATCTAGTCCAACCCCTTTGTTTTATAGATGAGGAAACCGAGGTGTAAGATCACACAGGTGGTAAATATCAGAGTTAGGATTTGAACTCAAGCCTCTTTGGTGTCTGGCTGCCACTATATTAGGCTACCTTTGAAACATTCATAGTCTAACAGGAGAGACAACACATATATGAGATTTCAGCTGATTATTATTATTATAATCATAACTGGACTGTACAAAATAACAGATATAAAAAAGTCAGGGAAGCATAGGAAAACATGTATGAATTGATAGAGTAGAGTTAGCAGAACCAGAAAAAGAATATGTACAATGACTGCAAGAATGTAGATGGAAAGAAGAAAAAACCTGAAATAGAATGCTGGGTAGGTATAATGACCAAACTTGCCCAGAGAAGAGAGTTAAGAAAATATGCATTTCTCCCATCTTTTAAGAGATGGGGGAACTATGGATGTGTAATATTCCACATACTGTCAGACATAGTTGATATATTGGTTAGTTTTCTTAAGCTGTGGTTTTGTTTTCTTTTTTTGAATGATTAAAAATGAAAAGCACACAGAGAATAATGATAGGAACATGGTGGGTGTGGACAGGCTGCAATATAAAACCAATGGGGAATTTTAAAGAACAGAAGCAAAAGGTGTGAAGGAAGTGTATGTCAGTAAGAGAAAATGGACTGACCATGTGTGAAGGGCAAGGAATGAAAAGTGGGACTCCAGAGTGTATCATTGGAGTCCTTGTGGTGTCATGAGGAATTGAGGAAGGTTTCCAGCATATTGGGTAGACTCCGGGTGGTGAACTTACAGGAAGACATGTTCAAGAATTGCACAGGATAGGAAAGCATGGATGGGTTATGATCTGGTTCATTGGTAGGAACACCCAAATCGGTAACAAAAGACTTATTTAAATATTTTGAGTAAGATATTTGTAACAAAAGATAGGGATTACAGAGTAGGGGAATGGATAAAATTGGAAATTAAGGTGATGTGAAAGAAAAAAATATCAATTAAAATGAGAAAAAAATAGAAAAGAAAAAAAAAAGATAGTACTGGGTCTCTGAGAGAATCTAGTAGGAGAGGGTATTCATTCCCTGTGTCAAAAGATACAGAGAGGTCAAAAAAGATGGTGGCTGAAAACAGGTCATTGAAAATGATAAATATCACCTGTGATCTTTAGTAGAGTAGTTTCATTAGAGTAGAAATCAGATGACATCAATTTGAGGTTGAATGACAAAGCAGAAAGAATACTGGATTTAGAGTTAAAAGGCTGACTTTGACACTTATTTATTCTGTGACCATGGATAGGTCACTTCCCCTCACTAATTGTCCTAATCTGTAATCTGTTCCCTAATCTGTAAAATGGGGTTAATGGTATTTATATAATTTGTCTTATAGGGTTGGTGGGAAAGTGTTTTATAAGACTTAAGGTGCCAGAGAATCTTGAGTTGTTATCAACAGGTACAGATATATTTTCCAAAAAGTTTAGCAGTAAAGGAAAGGAGAGGGATAGGATGGTAGAAAGATGGGGCAGCAGGGTCAAGGGAAGGCTTTTTTAATTTTTCAGGACTGGGGAGATCTGAACATGTTGGTTGATAGGTGAGAAGGAGACATTGAGAGGAAGAGATTGAAGATGCGCGAGAAGAAGAAGACTGCTGTAGCAAGGTCCAGGAAGTGGTAGGAGAGAATATGCCCAGGGAGAAGAATCAGCAGCCTTAGTGAGACCTAGGACTATCTCCTCTTCTTTGATGACAGAGAAGGCAGCAAGGGTGGGTGATGAACCTGAGAAGTTTTGAGTAAAGGAAGAAGAGGGTGGTTGAGAGAACTTATATCAGATGGCCTCAGTGATATTCTGGGCTATCTGCTGTAGGAATGGGATGGGAGAAGAATTTGAAAGAGAAGAGAAGATAGAATTTGGAACAGATGCTATGGGAATAAGATAGAGTCAAGGAGGGGAGAGTAGAATTGTTGGGCAGAAACAAGAGCCAGGCTGAAATTATGCAGCATGAATTTGGAGCGAGGGAAGTCAGCTTGGTTTTGTGATTTTCTCTACTAATACCCTGCAGTGCTGAAGCAGGAGCAGAGAGATTGGATTGTGAGGGTTACCCAGGAACAAGGATTTACAGTCAATGCCTTCCAGCTACTATAGAGCAGTCTCTCCCTTGTATTTAAAAAGCTCTGACCTCTTACACCCCGGTCCAGGATCTCACTGCCCTATTAATTAAGACAATTTTTTCCCTTACATATAATGGAAATCCCTTCTCCTTATGCTGAGAACCCATTTTCAGAGTGTCAATGACCATGGATAGCAGCTATTCTTCATCTTCCCTGTGAGAAGCCTTCATTCTACTGAACAGTGAACCTTGGTTGACAGCCAGCCTGGGGTAGGTGCCTGTGCCTAGTCAATCAGTGTCTTCGAAATAGCTACTGGAGAGAATGAAGGGAGAGAAGGATGAGGAAGAAGACAAGAGGGCCCTCAACAGCTGGACCTGCCCAGTCTCTCTCAGAAAGACAACTAGATGTCAGTCCTTGGTTCTTGATCTGCACTGTTATCGTCATATCTGTTATATGGCTGAGAAGAATTTGCATCATCTTCCCCCATCTCCTCTTGGAGATGTGTACTCCATTACTACTGGATTAGAAGATTAGAATCCTATATTGTAGCCTCTGTTTATTGTGTCACCTTGGGTTTCTCATCCTTACCAAGTCCCAGTTCTTCTCCTCTCTTCATTACCCTTACCAAGCCCTAATTATTCTATCCTCTTGCCCACTTTACACCCACCTTACATCTGTAAAATGAAACAGAACAGGCAATTAATGTGATAGAAGAAATCATTGGGGGGAGGTCTAAGAATTGTAGGATCACAGATCTAAAGCTCGAAGGCACCTCATAGGCCATAGTCTAACCCCCTTGTTTTACAGATGAAGAAACCGAGGCCCTGAAAGATGAGTCAACCAGTAAACATTTATTAAGTGCCTACTGTGTGCTAGGCACTGTGTTAAGTGTTAGGGATACAAAAAGAGGCAAAAGACAATCCCTGCCTTCAAGAAGCTCACAATACAATGGGGGAGACAACAAACAAATATATACAAACAAGCTATATACAGGATAAATAGGGAATAATTAAGAGAGGGGAGGCACTGGAATTAAGAGAGGTTGGGGAAGGCTTCTTGCAGGTGATGGAATTTTAGTTGGGACTTAAAAGAAGCCAAGGAAGCCAGTAGGTGGAGCTGAGGAGGGAGAGCATTTCAGGCATGGGGGACAGCCAGAGAAAAAGCCCAGAGCCAAGAGATGGAATGTATTGTTCATGGAATAGCCAGGAGGCCAGTGTTACAGTATGTGCTGGGGAGTAAAGTGTAAGAAGACTGGAATGCTATGAGGGGGCTAGGTCATGAAGAGCTTTGAATATCAAATGGTATTTTTGTAATTTGATCCTGGAAGTGATAGGAAGCCACTGGAGTTTATTGAATAGGTGCATAACATGATTGGACCAACATTTTAGCAAAATCACCTTAGTGCCAGAATGGAGGATGGATTGGAATGGGGAGAGACTTGAGGCAGGCACACCCACTGGTAGGTTATTACAGTAATCCAGGCTTGAAGTGATGAGGGCCTGTACCAGGGTGTTGGCAATATTAGAAGGGAGAAGCATGTTTGAGAGATGTTACAAATGTGAATTTGTCAGGTTGTAGCAACAGATTGGATATGGGGAGTAGGGAGAGAGACAATGAGAAGTTGATAATACATAGGTTTCCAGCGTGGGGGACTGGGAGGATGGTGTTGCCCTTGACAATAATAGAGAAGGGTTTACAGGAAAAAATAATGAATTTGGACATGTTGAGTTTAAAATGTCTACTGGACATCCAGTTTGAGATGAAGTAACTTGCTCATGGTCACACAAGTAGTGCCAGAGGTAAAATTTGAACCCAATTCCTTTGACTCTAGAGTTAGTGCTCTTTCCTTTATACTTAGTATTCTGTCAAGGGTTCAGGGAGGAGATAGAACCATGTTTGAGCTTGAAGAATAGGTGCACTTTGAAAAGGAGGGAGGAAAATATCTTAGGTTAGGAAACATCGTAATCCCAGGCATGGAGGTGGGAATAAGCCTGGTTTGTGTGAGGAACAATGAAAATATAGGCTTGGATGAAGGGGAGGGCTTATTCAGAGTTGGGCCAGTTTTCAGAGGACTGCAAAGGCCAGCTCTGACATTCTATGTTCTAATATTCCTCTCAGGTTTGACATTTTATGTTTTGTATTCTACCTCCAATGTTCTTTATTCTAGGTTCTAGTGTGTCTTCCAGGTTTGACACTATGTTATAAGAAACCTTCCAACTCTAGTATCTTTGGAAGTCTAAAATACCACTTTCTATGTTCTAAGGTCTCTTTCAACCAGATAGAAGAATTCAGACTTGTGGTAGCAAATAGATGAGCCTTTATAGGGTGTTGATCAGGGGGATGAAAGATGAAAGAACTGTCTTAGAAAGACGCTTTGGAAGACCACACAGGATAGATGGAGAGAGTGGCAGGAGGCCAAGGTTTTCTGTGCTTTGAGAACCTTAGTGGAAAGGACTTAATGTATTTTGAAGAAAAACATACCCAGATAGACCTGAGCTGAGGGGAGTTCTGCTCCTGTTTTCTGTGGGTTTTAAGAAATCACCACTGTTTCTTTTCTATTTCCCCACCCCAACCCCATTTCCACATACCCTGCACTTACCCTCATATTCTAGCTTCCTCTTCTCCAGCTCAGCTTCAATTTGGTCCAGTACCATGGCCAGTTCCCCCAGGATTTTCTTCAGGTAGTTGACGTTGTCATGTTCCAGGATCTTGGCCTGAGGAGAACCAGAGCTAAATTGAAAGATGTGAACCAGGGAGGCCCCAAGGCCCTAAGCTTCTCCATTCCTTATCTACTTCAAAAGCCCACTCCACCTGTTCTTATCTGGATTTGACAGGGTGGGGACAATAGGAGCTAAGAAAGTAGTATATAATAGTGGAAAGAGACTTGGACTGAAAGTCAGAAAACCTGAGCTTCAGGTCCAGTACTGCTTCTTACTAGCTATGTAACCTTGGGTAAAGCCCTTCCCCACTTTGGTCTCAGTTTTCCATCTGAAAAATGAGAGAGTTGGATTGGATAATCTTTAAATGTACAGCCAAAGAGATAGAGCATTGCAACTAGAGTCAGGGAGACATGATGAGTTCATTCACATCCAACCTCCGACACTTTCTAGCTGTGTGACTCTGGGAAAGTCCCTTAATCTCTGTCTCCCTAAGTTTCCTCATTGGGGATAATAATAGCGTTTACCTCCCAGGGATTTTGTGAGGATTAAATGGAATATTGTAAAGTACTTTGAAAACTCTATATAAATGCTAGTTATTGTGATTATTATTCCAATTTTGTTATCCTATGTCCTGTAATTTAAGGTCCTATTTGGTTAGCAATGACAACAACAACAACAATAATAGCAGCTAACATTTATGTAGTGTTTACTCTGTATCAGGCACTATGCTAAGCACTTTACAATTATTATCTCATTTGATCCTCACAACAACCCTGGGAGATAGGTGATGTTATTTTATTCATTTTACATATGAGGAAACTGAGATAAATAGAGGTAAAGTAACATGCCAAGGGTCACACAGCCAGTTAGTGTCTGAAGCCAAATTTGAACTCAAGCTCCAGGCCCAGCACTCTATCTACTGTGCCACCAGTTCTAATATTCTGTGTCCTAAGGTTCCTTCCAGCTGTAACGTTCTGTGTTCCAGATTTCTTCTTGTGCTGGCATCCTGTTTGATGTTCTTAGGTCCCTTCTAGCTTTAACATTCTCTAGTTCTCTGCTGCTTTGGTATATCTGTCCTATCCACTATTGATTTATTATGTTATTAGTATGTACCCAGTGTAGCACTAGTCATTAGGTGCTGGGGTCAGAATAAAAGGAGAAGACAAAACCTAAGAAAATTGTATAGTCTAGTCAGGAAGGTAAGATGAATATGCATGAAATTATTAGAGAACACATGTATTTTTTCTTCTCAAACTAAGTTATAAGCTCCTGATGCCAAGGATTATATAATTCATTTCTTCTGTTTTCACCTCAGAACATAACTCAGCATCAATAAGAAATTATTAGGTAATGCACGAATCAGCGAGTGAGTGAATGAATGGACTGGTACCAGGAGACTGAAGTGAGGAATAAGAGCCAGAATCTCCTTTGAGGAAAGCTCTGTCTGATTCTGCTCAAAGTGGACCTTGGGAGGTGCCATGATGATAATGTGTTGCCCATAGGATCATAGACTTAGAACGAGGAGGAACCCTAGAAGCCACAAATTCCCTTCATTTTACAGATAAAACAACTGAGATCTAGGGAGGTTAAGTCATTTGCCTAGAGTCACACAACTAGTGTCTGAGGTGAGATTTGAATTCAGGTCTCTCTAATTCCAAGTCCAATGACCATTTCATCATGTGGTCCATACTCACTTCAGTACCTCAATGATTTTGTAATTGCTCCCTCAACAGACACAGATGATAACCTGACCATGCTGCAGGAGACAGTTAATTTGGCCAAAAACATTCACCTGGTGGCCAGCCTTCTGCTTATGAGCCTCTCTATACTATCTAGTCCTTGGGTGACAGACACAAAGTCCATCACTTGCCCATACGTAAGGCTTTTCCGCACTGGGAGGAGTAGTATTTGCATATCTCTACCATAGCCTTCAAAAACTGAGGATCACTTCCACACCATGGTGAGGCAAACAGTAACCACAACTAGCATTTTAAGGCTTTCAAAGCACTTTATAAGTGTTATCTTTTTCTGGGACTTAGCTTCCTCATCTACAAAATGGGGTTGGACTAATTGATCTCTAAGGTACATTCCAACTTTATGATCATATGTCTTATGTATGTAATTTTTAAGAGAGAATTTTCATTTAGTCATCTCTGCATATTTGAAGGAAGGGCTTGCAAATCAGGGAAGAAAGACAGTTAAATCCTTTCAGAATGGCAGAACTTAATCTTTTAAAAATAGAAAAGGGAAGGTATCTTTTCATGTTACAAGGATATTGCTTGGGTTAAACTCTAGGGGTGGAGATGGTGGAGGGATGCTTAATTCTGAAATACAGAACTTATCAAAACATAATGTGAAAACAGGAAGCTTTAATGTTATGGTGAATACAGATTGATATTTTTCAACTAGCAAACTTGTGCTCTCTTCTTTTACTCATTAAAAATAAAAGCCCATACTAATTTAAAAAAATGTTATCTTTTTTATCCTCACAGCAGCCTTGGAAGGTAGGGGCTGTTATCTTCATCTTACAGATGAGACAGGCAGAGGTAAAATGACCTACCCAGGGTCACATAGCTAATCATCCGAAACTGGATTTGAACTCAGGTCTCCCTGACTCCAGGTCCAAAACTCTATCCACTGTACCACCTGGCTGCCTCTAATAAATCCTGATGAAGATTTTAAGAAAGTTTACTTCCCATACTTCCCCAGAGCCTCTTCCATACTTTGATGATGAGATACACACCCTCAAGTGGCTCATTATCTTCAAAATCATAGATTCCTAGAATGTTGTGACTAGAAGGAATCTTAGAATATAGAATTTGAGAGCTAGAAGAGACCTTAGAACATAGAATATTAGAACCGGAAGGAAGCTTAGAGATCACTGTAGAATCCCCCAGTTCTACTAAGGAGAAAACAGACCCAGAGCAAACAAGTCATTCGTCTAAGGTCACACAACTTTTTATTCCCAGAACCGCTGTGTCTGCTTACCATCCTGACTGCCCCTTCCCCGACAATATAGCCAGTGGTTTTATTTGGAGGGCGTTGGATTCATTCGAGTCACTGGTCATCTCAGAATCTTCCTGGCCCAGATATTTCTTTTCCTCTAAGGACATGGTGGGATTATGTGTGAGTGTGTGTGTCTGTGTGCGTGTGCTTGGGTGTGTGTATGCGTGCACAGGTGCTGGGCAGGGGCCAGGGCTTTAAGCAGCTCACCATGAGTTTCTTCTGTTTGGAAAGGTAGGGCTCTGACAGTTGAGGCTCCTCTTCATGGTCCAATTTCATTAGGTCAGTGCTGGCATTGGCCAAGTGTCCTAGGAAAAGAAGGCAAGGCCGATCCTGTCCCCTCACTCCCTCCCGCATCCCCCATACAGGTAATACTACTAACTCATGTTTTTGGTATAATTTCAAGGGTTAAAAAAGAGATTATGCCACATTATCCCTGTGAAGCAAGTAGCACAGGTATTATTGTTCCCGTTTTACAGAAGAGGAAATGGAGGCACGCAGAGAGAAAGTGATGTAAGCGAAAGAATTGGGGATATTTAACCTGGAGAAGACTCAGAAGGAATACAACTGCTGTCTTCAAGTATTTGAAGGCCTGGCAGGGAAGAGGGAATAGGATTGTTCTTTGTCCTAAGGGGAAGACATAGAGGGAAGTAAAAAAGAGGCAGGTTTGGGACTCCATGTAAGGAAAAGCTGAGAGCTGTCTGGAAGTGTAATGGGCTGCCTTAGGAAGCAATGGCTTCCCAACTCTGGAGGACTCCAAGCAGAGGCTGGATGACTGCATGTTGGGGATGTCGTGGAAGGGATTCTTGCCCAGGTATTGGTTGGACTAGATGACCTCTAAAGTGCCTTCCAGCTCAGAGATTCTGTAATGCCATGGCTTGTCCAAGCTCACACAGGGATTTAATCTAGATGATCAGGAAATAGGTAGCATGGCAGGGACCCAGAGCTACTCTCTGAATGCTTTCCTTATTTTTTTTTTTCATTAGATCCTCATTGGGGATATAGTAATAATAGCTGATACTTATATAGCACGTACTGTGTGGCAGGCATGGTACTAAGTGCTTTATAATTATTATCTCATTTGATTCTCACAACAAACCTGGGAGGTAGAAGCTATTATTGTCTCCATTGTACATGTGAGGAAACTGAGACAAACAGAGGTTAAGTGATTTGCCCAGAGTCACACAGCCAGTAAGTGTCTGAGGCCAAATTTGAACTCAGGTCTTCCTGACTCCAGACCTGGCACTCTATTCACTGCACCACTTAGCTGCCCACTATGTCTACATAGAAGACACTTGCCTGTCTCCCCAGTCCTCCTAGATTCCCTGACTTGGAGTCAGGAAACCTAGCCAGCTGTGTGACTCTGGCAAGTCACTGGACCTCTCTGATCCTCAATTTCCTTGTGATGTGAGTACTTCCTTCACTGGTAGAGATTGCAGCCAGTGTAAAGTACTATATAAATATGAGTTATAATAGATAACAGGAGTAATAATCACAATAGAAATAAAGAACAAAATCCCTTCACATCCCAGAGACCATTGAAGATTCCAAAGAATTTCATACTAGAACTTTACTAATTAAGAGAAGATACAACAGAAAGCAGACTTGGGTTTGATCCTGTTCCCCACCCTTGCCCCCATACACAGATACGCAACTAACTTCTTTCCATTCCTCCTTCCAACCCAGAGAAGAACTCAGTGAGACATGTTGCTCCCATTTCTCAGTCACTGGAGGCGTAGATCATTAGAGGGGAAGGAGGGTGGGAGACTTTATGATCCAAAGAAACCTAAGAGATCAATTAGTCCAACTCCCTTACTTTCCTGAGGATAAAATGGAAGCCTAGCGTAAAGAAGCGGCTTCCTCAAGTAGGAAATGCCAGAGCTTGCGTTTGAACCCAGGCCCTCTGACTCAAGTCCAGGACTCTTTCCACTGTACCGTGGGCCTCAAAATTTCTTCCTAAAGAAGATGAGAGGCAGACATCAGGTGAAGTGATTATGTCAAATCTATCTCTTGAGCATCGTTCGTTTATACCTCATCCCCACGTAGCTTGTTGAGGTTTCCTTTGTTCTGCCTCTCTGCTGGTATTACCCCTCATTCTCTTGCCCCATGTTAGCTGAAGAAAGTCTTTCTCTCTGTCTTCACTCCCTTCCTTCTCTCTCCCTCCCTTCCTCACACAACCTCTCTCTTCTTCTTCTGACAGGACCAGAATAGGCAGAGCAGGAAGAGAGATTGGCTAACTGGGCTGCGAAGGAAGAGCAGGAAGAAGCAGGAGCCCGCATCATGAAGGGAGAGCAATTCTGGGGAAGGCAGATCAAAGGATATGTAGAGTGTATAGAGCCAGACCGTCTAGTCTAGGTCTCTCGTTTCCCATTTTACAGATGGGAAAACTGAGGCCCAGCAAGATTCGTGACTTGCTGAGCGTCATACCAGTAGTGAGTAGTTTGGCTGTTAGTTAAGCCCAGGTCTTTCCGGTCTGGTTCTCCAAGTCCCAGGGTATTACAGTGTGCTCCCAGTCTAGGGTAGGGTGGGAAAGAGTGATGAACACGTAAATGCGTAGCGTCTGAAGAGTACGAATTTAAGCCAGAGGAATCTCAAGGTGTATTGGCAAGGCAGTACCAACAAGAAGGGGAGACTCAGGAAGGAGGGGCGTTTTATGGGAACCCTTCAAATCAGAGCACTAGACAGCTAAGGGCCACTTGTTTGTTCCCAAGATCAAAGCCCTACTGCTCAGCAGTTAGGAGGGAGCCGGGGGCACTTGGCACATCAGGACCCCAATGTCTGGGATGTCCCTTGAGGGAGGGGGCTGTCCCACTTGTGCGGGTGCTGCTTCTGGGGAATGTCAGGGTTCCACCACCTTCTTAGCTTGGCCTCACCCCACCTAGCCTGCTGCAGGCTCTAGGGAGCACCTCCCCAGCTCCTGCTGCCTGGCTATGTTAAGCTTCGTCAATGTTTCATGAATGTTTGAAGGTCAAGAGCAGCATCTTCGCTTCACTCAGTCACTTGGGGCAGACACTGGCCTCCACTCAGGGCTACTCAGCATAGGTCTGGCACGAGAGGGAAAAGAAAGGAAAATCATGGGGGAGGAGGGCTCCCTTTGGGTCTGTCCAGTGATTGATTAGTGGTATCAAACTCCGTCAGGCACCTGGCACTTTTGGTCCCAAGGTGACTGATCAGCTTCCGTGGCCAAGGTGACTTGCCCTCTTTCTCAGCACCTGCCCTGCTGCTAGGGGTGGGGGTGGGGGTGGGGAATATGCCTGCTCTTGATTTCACATATTCCACCTGGATCTCTACAATTGACCCTGGTAAAAGCAGCAGCAGCTTGGGTGGAGGAGAGGGGGTGGGGAAGGAAATGGGGTTGTAAATGATGACTAGGGACAACACAGAGGGTCCGGTATTGATTTGGGGAGGACACAGAACCTGGAATTGGTGAAAACAGGCCAGAGGGCAGAGAGATGTTTTAAAAGTACAATAAAGGGAAGGAGGGAGAAAGGGTCAGGGATAGAGAAAGGGAAAAGAAACTGAAGGATTGGAAAATGAAAGAAGGGTAAAAAGATATGGAGAGAAATGTGTCAGCAGAGAAGAGGAGGGGAATCAGAGAAAGAGAGAGGTGAGTAGGAAGGGAGGAGAAACAACCAGATGGAAAGAATTGGTACTCAAACCCTGGCTCCTCCTGCTGGGTCAGGTTTGCCGGGGCTGGCCACTTACTGCGAATCTCAGCCGTGGCATACTTAGGGATCATGGAGTCAGTGGTGAGCTCAGGGTGAAGGATGCAACCGTGGGTGTAGGCGTCCATGGGGAGAGAATCCAGCAGCTCACGGTATTGCAGTACCCGGGCATGAAGCAGGCTTCCAGCCTCAGGTATCAACTGAGCCACATGTTCTGGGGATGGGGAAAGAGAAAAGAGGCAGGGCTAGTTAGGGTCCGCAAAGATGGGCATTTCAGAAGCCTTCCCCAGTCCCCAGTATTACAGACCCAGCGTGCATGCCTTAGGTTCATGGTCTCAGTCCTGGGTCTGGCCTTTTCTTCCCTTATGCAAAACACAGTCATCTGAAACACAATCACTTTGGAGAGAGCTGGACTCCTCAGGACTGTCTGAGAAGCTCTTAGAACTAAAGTCCTAGCATTTAGAGCTAGAAAGGTCAGAAAGCTAGAAAGAAATACCCTCCTTCAGGGGTTCTTGACCTTTTTTTGTGTCATAGACCTATTGGGCAGTCTGGTGAATCCTATGTACTCCTCAAAATAATGTTTTTAAATATATAAAATAAAATATATAGGATTACAAAAGAATATTGAAATATGTTATTAAATATATTATTAAAATATGTGTATTTTAAAATAAAGCTCACTGACCCCAGGTTAAGAATTCTTCTCTAACTCTTGCATTTTGCCCAATATAGAAACTGAGGCCCAGAGGGGAGAAATAACTTTTTCCATAGGTACATAGCTAGTACGTGGTGGAGACCTTGATGTTCCCCACACTCCTGTGCCTGCCCCCAGCCTTCAGGACTTTTCCCAGGTAACCATACCTCCGGTGAAAGTGCGTTCCACGTAATCAATGATCTGGTCGTAATCACTGATGATGTTGTCCCGGTGAATGATGACAGGCACCTCTTCACCCAGGTTCAGGCGCATGAACCATGGTTCCTTGGGCTCACTCAGAGGCAGACTGACATCCCGCTCATCACAGGGTAGCCCCTTCTCCGCAATCACCAGCCGTACCTGGGTGGGGGTTGGGGTGGAGGGGCTCAGAGGGGACAGGGGCATGGGAAGAGCCCAGACACACACGAGGAAACTCTGTTCAGGGGAGATGGGGGGCATGTGGGGAGGGAGATAACACACAGGGTATAATACTGGTTTCGGGGATGTGAGCTGGGAGTAACCTGGCAGGGACCTAGGTCCCTAAATACTGCTCATCCTCCTGAGGGTGGGCCCAATCAGCTACAAGGAGGGGTTCTCCACCATGTTCTTCTGGCTCAGAGCTATAGAACATTAGAGCTGGAAGGGACATTAGGACACAGAACAGAGACTATCAGAGCTGGGAGGAACCTTAGAGATCATCTGATTCAACTGTCTCATTTTACAGAGGAGGAAACAGAGGCCCAAAGCGCTAAGCCCAAGGCTGGATGCTCATTAATCAGAGCCTGAGCTCCTCCTGTTTCAAGCCAGGTAGGAGGAGACTTGTTCTGTCTGTAAGCCTGGATGTAAATGTCTGCCAGTGGCAACACTGTGGGACAGAGTGTGAACTCTGTGTGGGTGGAGATCTGCTTTTCTCTAAGTACACTTTCCTCTGTGCTTCCACTATACTTAGGCACCTGCATGTGATGTGGTGCATATCTGTGCACACTCTAAAGCATGACATAAATGTGAGCTGTGTGTGATGTGTGAGCTCCTGCACACCTATGACTCTGTGTTTCTGTGTACATAGTGGCCCAGAGGGCATAAGGTAGCCTGGCTCATCCTCCTTAGTACTTGGTGGTGAGGGCTGGAGAGTTGGGAGAAAAGCTTTAAGTTCCTCCTGAGTTCTGTCTTGGAATGTTATTCCATCCTTTCTAACTTGGCCCAGTCACTGTCTCTTCTTCCTCCCTGGTAGTCCTAGGAAAGCAGCACTTGGATTCCCCTTTGGAGGGCCACATCGGTAGATTTCCATTCCAAGGGAGGAGGGAACCCAAGCAATACCACACAGAGAGCAGGTACCATAATTGGTACAGATGGAAGTGTCCTAAACCAGGGGTCAAGAGTCCTGGATTCCATTCCTGGATCTCCCACTGACTCATTATGTGACCCTGGGCTATCCCCTCACTTTTCCTGGGTTTAAGCTTCCCCATATGTGAAATGGGATGGTTGGACTGGAGCTCTGACATTCTGTGCTTTATAATTTTTATAATAAAAGGGCCTGACATTTGTACGATATAGCAGTCATTCTACACTAATGACTTACTCCCTTTCAGGGCCATGGCCCTCATCACAAAATGAGGGAATAAGGCTAAATAGTCTCTAAGCTCACTCTCAATTCTAAAATCCTTTGCTTGTCACCTACATTAGACTTTTGGAAGTGAGGGAGACTGGGGGTGGGGAGGGAGAAGAAGGAACTACTGATGTTTTATTTAGGGAGAGTGACTTAGGGTAAATGTTGTTATGAATGTGAGGTTGCAGAAGTTACCAAGGAGAATCTCTTTTTTTTCTGAGTCGAGCCGTGGGCCAAGGAACTGGGAAGTCTAGCTGGGGGTGGGGAAGGGCCATCAGATTTATGTGCTTAGCTTTGCCATCTTTGTCATGTGGGGGCAGGGCCAGCCTTGAATAGAAGTTGGAGGGGCTCCTGGCAGGGATCCCTATCCCCAAATACCACCCCTACTGAAGTGGAAAGAGCCTTGGACTCCAAGTTAGAGGACCTATGTTATAGGACCAGCTCTGCCACTTACTACTTGCATGACCTTGGGTGAGTCACTTCATCTTTGGGAGCTTCAATTTCCCCAGCTCTAAAATGAGAGGATTGAATAAGATTATGGCTAAAGTCCCTTCCAGCTCTAAATTCCTCCATAACCTGACTCCTTCCTACCTTTCCAGTCTTCTTTCTCTGCATACCCCCAACCCCATCCCACATTCTCTGCTATCCAGCGACACTGGCCTCCCTGTGTTCTTTGTACTAGATGCTCCACGCGTTTTCTCTTGACTCCGTCTCTCAACTCCAGGGATTTTCATTTACTGTCTCTCTCTTGCCTAGAACACTCTCCTTCCTCATCTTTTCCTCCTAGCTTCCTTGGCTTCTTTAAAGTCCCTGCTAAAATCCTGCCTTTTGCTTTCCTCCATGGATTATCTCCAACTTAACCTGTTTATTCATAGATGTTTGTATGTTGTTCCCTTGCCTCCCGCCATTAGACCTTGAGCTCCTTGAGCTCAAGGTCTGTATTTTGCCTTTTTAAAAATATTCTCAAATGGTGCCTGTGCATAAAAGGAACTTAATAAATGCTTATTTAGAGACTGCTTTGAGTTCTAAAAATAACCCTAGCTCTAATTCAACTCAATGAGCATGTATTAAGCACTTACTGTGTGTGTAATGCACTGGGGATACAAACAATCCCATCCCTCATATTTTGTGTTTTGTATTCTGAGATCTTTTCCAGTTAAAACATTCTATGATTTCGTGACTATGTCTCCACTATTAGTGACTCATTACTTTGGCTTAAGCATGACTCTCTCCAGGATCCTCTGGCAAGCTGCAAATCCTTCCTACCCTTACCCTAGGGAGAGAATATTCATTCCCTGATTCTTTAGAGTGACTGAGTGTCTCATATTCTTTTTTTTTTTTTTTTTTGCTGAAGGAAGTGTCACTTGAAAGCACTGTGTTGGGGATCCAAAATGATAATATATCACACTTCTGTATCAGGGATTAGTATATACCTTAGTGTAGCATTCCTAAGGACCTTGAAGACTGCCCAGCCTTCTATTGGAAGTGAAAAAATAATGGTTAGAAAGCTTCAAACCTATGGCCTAATGGGATTAGAATGATCAGATTTTAGAGCTTGAAGGATCTTTAGAGAACATAAACTAATAATAAATAATAAAATAAAGAACTAAAGGTATTTAGTCAAACCTCCTTATCTTACAAATTAGGAAATGAGTCCCAGAGAGGCCCACTGATTTGTTCAAGGTCACACTAAGAGGCAGAGCCAGAATTTAAACTTAGGCCTCTGACTCCAAATCAAGTTCTCTTTCTGTAACATACCATAACTGCCTCCTCAAGTTTATGATGCTTTTAAATGGTGACAGTTCGTTCTGACATGAGACAGCCCAGGCATTGAAAAGGCAAGGGGAAAGGGAAATCCAAGGTAGGAGCTCTAATCACTGAGTGTTTATAGCTGAGGGTAGGGGTTAAGGTCAACCCAAGGGCTGATTAAAGTTAGAAAGTATCTGTAGGGACGCAAAGGCTTACAGAAAGCAAGGGCTCCTTAAGGAACTGGGAACCATAGGAACTGACACCTGTCAGAGTTCATTGTTTCCCATGTTCAAAGTCAGAGTTGAGAGGTCTTGGTTCCTCTCTCTGCTAAACCTCGTCAGTAGCCCTGACCATGGTGCTGAACATAAGGATTTTTTTTTTTTTTCACTCCCTCCCACTTCCCTTCCTAGCACTCTCCAGGGCTGATTGTGTTGGTGTTGTTTGGTTGTTTCAGTCCTGTCCAACTCTCTGTGACTCCATTTGGGGTTTTCTTGGCAAAGATACTGGAGTGAGGAGGATCTCAAGTCCCGCCTTCATTCCCTAGAACCACACTAAGTTATAGCCTCTCCCCAGCTCAGTCCCAACTCCTGGAGGAACATCTACCTAAAAGGACATGGAGAAGAAATAAGATATTATGGAAGGAGTAGCAGACTAGAGTCAAGAGACCTGGGTTCTAGTCTTGGCTCAACCACTAACCTGCTGTATGACCTTGGGCAAGTTAATTCCCCTTCCCAGTACTCTGATCTATAAAATTTAGAGGGTTTGTATGTATGAGGGGGAGAGTTGGGATCTCAAAGATCCTTACTACCTATGCAATTCTGGGTGAAAGTGGATGATATTCCTCTTTCCTCTGTCTCTCTGGCCATTCCTAGGGACTATAAATCCATAGTTCTGACCCCTGGATTTCACTCGGGAAGTTGGTGTCTTTGGAGATTATTTGCAGGGAAACTGTGAGTCCCAAAGGGTTAATGAATTAAGGTTAAGAGGTGTCCTGTACCTTTAAATCTGCCAGCCTAGCTCTGAAAGGACCCAGCAGGCCCCAGGAGCTGTGACCCGCTGAAGAGGGTGGGGAAAATGAGGGGAGGGAATTAACTCTTTCCTTCCCAGTATGAATACAGGCTGGGAGGGAAGAGAAGTAGTGTAGGGTAATGTAAAGGTACTGACTAATGCTCCAGATACTGAGAGCTTCTGGGCACAAGATAGTTCCTGTGGTTTCCCTGAGCAACCCCTATTCTGAAGCCAGGGAGCATCAAAGCACTAAGAATTGGAAGGAATTTTGGAATCAAACTCACTTACTTTACAGCTGAAAAAAAGAAAAACCTGAGGCTCAGGGATGAGGAGTGACTTGCCTAAGGTCACAGAGATAGTAAGTAGGAGAGCTGAGATTCTAACCTGCACTCTCTGACCCCAAATCTCATTCTTAAAAACAAAAACTATTTCATGCTACTTTCAGAACCCAGGCAACTTTGAATCTGTTGGTATGAGGGGTGAGTAGGTACAGGGAGGGCTGAGCCTGTGTGAGTAGGGAGGACAAGGATTCTGAGCAGGAGAAAGGTGGCTGAGTGAAGTCACTACCCCCCAAGACTGGAAGTAGTGAGACCTTGGTTCAAAAATTCTAGCTGTGTTACCAATTCATTACATGACCCTAGGGAAGTCATTGTACTAGGTCTTAGTTTCCTCATTTGTAAAGGGGTTGAACTAAATGGTTTCTGAGAGACCCTGTGGAATCAGAGTGCTTCAAAGCCACAGATACTTACTCCACTCATCCCACCCCCCCGCCCCATCCCCAGCTCTGTGGAAAAAGGTTGGAGCTAGCTCTGTTGGGCTGGGCTGGGTTGGGCTGCAGTGTCTGGGACAAAGGATGATAGGGTCTGATATATCAGGTCTGGAAAAATGGTAGTTCTTCCAGCTGAGTCCCTCAGAACCCCTTCCTTCCTCTCTTCCTTCTGACAGCAGCTTTCTTTGCTGTTTTCTTTGTCTACACTTGTCTGCTTGGCTCCATCCCCTCCCCTCCCCCCTCCATTCTTAGCTTCTCCTTGGGAACCAGAATATCCAGGCTGAAGGGATGAGCAGATCTTAGACACCGAGAGTTGGGTGGGTGAGTGGGTTGGGGACAGCTGCCTCCTCCACCCAGAACCCTCAACTGCAACTATAACCTGCCAAGAAAGCCAGGCTAGCTGCAGGCTGGGGCTGGAGCACCCGGGGGGAAACCCATGGTGTTGACTGTTCCTTGGGGATGCGGAGAGGGAAGCCTCGCCTACTCCAACACTCCTCCCCCCACCAAGCTCAGGTCCCGTACCATCCCAGGGCCCTTGAACCAGGAGGCTAGAATGCCCAGGCTTCTGGGTTCCCCACTCCCACTGCCCTCCAGAGCCTGCCTCCTGCATGTACCTTCTGGGAGCTGAAGGACTGAGTCCAGTGGTAGAGAACCAGGCTCTCCTTGGCCCACTGGGAGGGGTCAGCTGCCTCCTGGCCCTCCGAGGCCTCCGGAGCCTTCCCTGCATCACTCTCCAGTGCCGAAATGGGCCACCAGCTACACTTGGTGGGAGTCAGGTTGTTCGGAGTCGCCATGACAGGCTGAGCTCGGAAGGAAAGGGGGAAGGAGGCTTCCTAGTGGTGGCAGTAGCAGCAGCAGCAGCACTCACGGAGCATCACATGGCCTCTCCAAAGCTTCTGTTGTCACTGGGGCTCCAGGCTGGAATCTCATTACTCATCGGGGGGCTCCAGAGGGACTGACAGGGAGCCTTTGCCTGCCCCACCCGGGGTGGGGGGGGGTGAAGGCTGTGGCTATTGGGTCACTGCAGAATTCACCACCTTGCTCCAGTCCAAGCCCAGAGCTGGCCCTGGCAGTTCTGCAAGACACCTGAGAATCCCCACAGTGACTGGGAATTTGACTTATGATGGAGAGATCATCCCGCCCACTGGGGAAGGGACCTTCACCTCTTCCATCTAGGACATCGCTAGAGAGGCATAGCAGCCCTGGGCTTGAAGACCTGATTTAAGTCCTGGCTCTACAAATTACTTGCTATGTAACCTTGAGCACATTATTGAATATTTCTGAGCCTCAGCTTTCTCATCTGTAAAGTGGGACCTTTCTAGCACGAACATTCCATGTTCTGAGGGTCCTTTCACTTCTGATAGTCTGTCTTCTATGGTCCCTTTTGGTTTTTACATTCTATGATTCTGGAAGAGGGCCAGTCTGATGTACAGGTAGCATAAGAGGTTACTTGATGATTGGATTTGAGTGTCAACTGAAAACTATTTTTCATCCCCCCAAACTTCCTCTTACTGAGAGAGGCAGCAAGGTTCAGCAAGAGTACTGAAGTTGCAGTCAGAAGACCTGAATTTGATTCCCAACTGTGCCACTATTTGGGGGACTGTGGGCAAATCACCTTCTCTCCTCAATAAAATGAAGGATAATCACACACACTCTACTTGACTCTCAGGACTATATTTTTCTGTATGATAAGAATAGGGACTGGAGCTTTTGTTGGTATAGGAACTCTCGATTGAGGAATCTCATGCTATCATGCAAGTCTTAGACAGCTTCCTAAAGGACAAAGACATTAAGTGATTTGCCCAGGATCATATAGCCAGAATGTGTCAGTTAGGTTTAAATCCAGGTCTCTCTAGCTTCAAGACTAGTTCTTTATCCACTATGCCATGTGGCTTCTCATATTTTTTCGTGATTTAAAAAATGTTTTATTGATGCTCTTCTTTTTTATATCACCATCACTTTCCAATATTGCCACCCTCCCCATACCACCCTTCTTGGTACCACATAAATACAGCAAAGCAAAACAAATCATCACATTGGCTGTGTCTGAAAATGAATGCCTCCTATAATCAATCCATCACCTCTTTGCTGAGAGGCAGGAGACCTGCTTCACCATCAGCTATCTGAAGTCAGAATTAGATATTCATTGAGTTGAGTGCTGAAGTTGTAAAGCACTTTAGAAGGGCAACATATTCATATTGTCAGTCCATCCCACTCTCTGGCATTCTAGCATTTGAAAGTTATTTATTAGTTTGGTAACAAGATTTCATTTTAAACTCAAATCCTTCTGGGAGTGGCAATGTGTTTAATTCTCAGCCATTCACTGGTTAGTTTATCAACCTGGAATTTGAGGTCCCCCTTTCCAGCCTTATTTCACAATATTCCACTTGTGCTCTACATTCTAACCAAATGGACTGCTGACTACTAGGAGTAGTCCTCCGCCCTCTCCCCATCCAATTCATTGCCAAGATCTATTGATTTTATATTTGCAACATCTCTTGAAAATGGCTCCTTCTCTTTTCTAACACTGCTACCACTCACATGCAGGCCCTTATAACTTCATGCCTGGACTTTTGCAATAGCCTTCTGTTGACTCTGCTTGACCCAAGTCTCTCTGCACTTCAATCCATCCTCCACTATAGTGATTTTCCTAAAGCACAGAACTGATCATGTCACACACATACACCACTCCCTCCCTGCTCAATCCCCAATCCAACTCAATAAACTCCAACTGCTTCCTATTGCCTCTGGGATCAAATACAAGTAAGTCCTCTGTTTGACATTCAGAATCCTTCCTACCTTAGCCCTCTTTTACTTTTCCAGTCTTCTTTTTATTTTTTATTTATTTTTAACATTCACTTTAAAAAATTTTGAGTTCCACATTCTCTCCCTCTAGCCTTTCTCCTACCCATTAAGAAGGCAAGTAATAGGATATTAATTATACATGTGAAACAATGTAAAACATTTCCATATTAGTCACATTGCAAGAAAAAGCAAGAAAAATAAGTGAATAAAGTATACTTTGATTTGTACTCAGAGTTCATCAGTTCTCTCTTTGGAGGGGGATATAATTTTTCGTCATGAAATTGTCTTGGATGATTTTCTTGATCAGAGTAGCTGTCATTACAGTATTGCTGTTGCTGTGTACAATGTTCTCCTGGTTCTTCCCACTTTACTTTGCATCAATTCATATAAATCTTCCCAGATTTTTTCTGAAACCACCCCCTCATCATTTTTTTTTCTTCTTTTTTTTCAACATTCACTTTTATAAGATTTTGAGTTCCAAATTTTTTTCTCCCTCCCTGCCCTCCCCCCTTCCCAATATGACAAGCAATCTCATATAGTCTATACATTTACAATCATATTAAACATATTTCCACATTAGTCATGTTGTGAAAGAAGAGTCAGAACAGAAGGGGAAAACCATGAGAAAGAAAAAAAAAACAAAAAACAACCAAAAAGAAGAGAAAATAATATGCTTCGATCTGCATTCAGACTCCAGAGTTCTTTCTCTGATGTGGATAGCATTTTCCATGAGTCTTTTGGAATTGTGTTCGATCATTGTATTGATGAGAAGAGCTAAATCTATCAGAGCTGGTCATCACACAATGTTGCTGTCACTGTGTACAATATTCTCCTGGTTCTGCTTACTTCATATCAGTTCAGGTAGTCTTTCCAGGTTTTTCTGAAATCCACCTACTCATCATTTCTTATAGCACAAAAGTATTCCATCACAATCATATACCACAACTTGTTTAGCCATTCCCCAATTGATGGCCTCCCCTCAATGTCCAATTCTTTGGCACCACAAAAAGAGCTAATATAAATATTTTTGTGCATATAAATCCTTTTCCCTTTTCTTTGATCTCTTTGGGATACAGACCTAGCTAGCAGTGGGGTATTGCTAGGTCAAAGAGTATGCGCAGTTTTATAGTCCTTTGGGCACAGGTCCAAATTGTTCTCTACAGTGGTTGGACCAGTTCACAACTCCACCAATAGTGCATTAGTGTGCCTGTTTCCCCCCATCTTCTCTGGAATTTGTCATTTTCTTTTCTGACATGTTAGCCAATCTGATAGGTGTGAGGTGGTATCTCAGGGTTGTTTTTATCTAAACAATAATGATTTAGAACATTTTTAATGTGACTATTAATAGTTTTTGATTTCTTCTTCTGAATACTGCTTATTCAGATCCTTTCACCATTTATCAATTGGGGAATAGCTCATATTTTTTATAAATTTGGCTAAGTTCCCACATATTTGAAAAATGAGGTCTTTATCAGAGAAACTTGCTATAAAAATTTTTTCCCAGTTTCCTGCTTTTCTTTTAATTTTGGCAGTATTGGTTTTGTTTGTGAAAAAACTTTAATTTCATGTCATTAAAATTATTAATTTTACTTCCTATGATCTCTATATCTTGCTTGGTCATAAAACCTTCCTTTAGCCATAGATTTGACAGGTAAAATTTTCATGATTCCCTAATTTACTTCTGATACCACACTTTATGTCTAAATCATTTAACCATTTTGACCTTATTTTAGTATACAGTATGAGATGTTGGTCTATGCCTTGTTTCTGCCAAACTGCCTTCCAGTATTCCCAGCAATTTTTGTCAAATGGTGAGTTCTTGCCTCCAAAGCTTGGATGATTGGGTTTATCAAACACTAGATTATTATGGTTATTTACTAACATGTATTGTGTCTTTATCTGTTTCACTTATCCATCACTCTATTTCTTAGCCAGTACCAGATTGTTTTGCTGATTACCACTTTGTAATATAGTTTGAAATCTGATACTGCTGGGTTGCCTTCCTTTACATTTTTTCCCATTGATTCCATCAGTATTCTTGACCTTTTGTTGTTCCAGATGAATTTTATTATTTTTTCCTAGCTCAATAAAATAATTCTTTGGTAACTTGATTTGTATGGCACTGAATAAGTAAATTAATTTAGATAGAATTGTTATTTTTAGCATATTGACTCAGCCTATCCATGAACAATTAATATTTCTCTAATTGTTTAAATCTATCTTTATTTGTGTTAAAAGTGTTTTGCAAATGTGTTCTTATAGTCTCTGGGTTTATCTTGACAGAGAGACTCCCAAGTATTTTATATTGTGTGCAGTAATTTTGAATAGAATTTCACTTTCTCTTTTTTTCCTGCAGGGTTTTGTTGGTAATATATAGAATTGCTGATGATTTATGTGGGTTTATTTTGTATCCTGCAACTTTGCTAAAGTTGTTAATTGTTTCAACTAGTTTTTTTAGTTGATTGTCTAGGGTTCTCTAAGTATAACACCATATTATTTGCAAATAGTGATAGTTTTGTTTCCTCCTTGCCCTTTCTTATTTCTTCACTTTCTTTTTCTCATCTCATTGTTATAGCTAGTCTTCTAGTACAATACTAAACAATAGTGGTGATAATGGAAATCCTTGCTTCACCATGATCTTATTGAAAGGGCTTCTAGTCCATCCCCATTAGAGATAATGGTTGCTTATGATTGTAGATAGATGCTATTTATCATTTTAAGAAAGGCTCCACTTATTCCTATGCTTTTTAGTGTTTTTTTTTATAAGAATGGGTGCTGTATTTTGTCAAATGCTTTTTCTGCATCTATTGAAATAATCATGTAATTTTTGTTGTTTTTGTTACTTATATGGTTAATTATGCTTATAGTTTTCCTAATACTGAACGAACCCTGCATTGCTAGTATGAATACCACCTGGTCATATTGTATGATTTTTGTGATATATTCCTATAACCTCCTTGCTAGAATTTTATTTAAAATTTTGCATCAA